GCCAGCACACGCTTTTCTAATTTAAGAACCTTTCGCTGCATGTCCAGAAATTTGACATCAACTTGCCGCTTGCTTGCCAAATGTTATCTAAGCCGCAAACGGAATCCAGTTAGCTGCGTCGGTCGGAAGAGCAAACAAAAGAGGGTGATGGTGATGAGGGGTAAGAGGCAAGGGGATTTCAAAAACGGCTAGACGCCCTGTTTGCCTGAGCACTTGACTTGCCCCATTTGCTGCCGGGGTGGTGGGTGTTGCTATTGCAGTTGATGTTGCTGCTGTTGCTGTTGCTGCTGCTGCTGCTCTTGATGTTGCTGGTGTAATGAGCAACCACATCAACTGTTGAGCTGGCAAGTGAAGTGCTCATCATGACAGCTGCAAAATGCAAGGCGAAGATGATTTATAATTGTCATAGACTTCCTGGTTTTGTTGTTTAAACGGGCGATGAGTGAAAAGCCGAGCACTGCCAGCACGAATCATATCCATGGCAGATACATTTCAGCACCTGCTGCTAACAGTGCTCATGATGGCACTTCCCCTGGGAGGGGGGATCTCATTGGAGGATTTTGGAAGATTCATAGAAGAGTGCGCTTAAAATATACAGAAAATGAATACTGATTTTTGTAGGTATCTTAACCGAATAAAATAGGTAAATAAAAAAGCATATTAAACTACATTTTGTTTAACCAAAAAAATAGATATAAATTAAATTTACCGGAACAAATTTAGGTTTCACTTTTCACTTTTGCATTTTACGAGCTCAAGTTATTATGGCAAAATCAAGTTTTCTCCTAATGTTTATATTCATCAAAAGCTGCTTTGATTTTGTATGTTTATGTCAATATAAACATTTTATTGGTGCTTTTATGAATGCATTTATATTGAGTTTAAGGTTGGATATACTGTGCTCTTAAAAGATCTTTATTAATGCCATCTACATAAAACGATTTAGCAGATTATGGCCAGGCTCAAATAATATATTTCAATCCATAATGGACCAATATATAGTTCAAGCTGTCTTCTCTTTCGTTTAAGCGTATCTGCTTGTTAAATAAGAGCCACACTTTATGAGTAATCAAGCCGCACAAAAACTGTAATTTCAATGTCTCATTCCCGGATTCATTTGAAGCTGATCCAGTGGCTCAGATTCCGTTTCCTTCAGCTGGAAGGGGAGCCGCAGTTCCGCATCCAACAATAGCCACCACAAATGGCCAAGAGGCAGCCGACTTATGCAACTCCAGTCAGCCGACGACGGGCAGGCAATGGCGGGCAATTAATTTAATTGCAAACGGCATGAGAGCTCGCCACGCCCTGAATTTATTTTAATTAGCCCGATATTCGCTTCATTATATTTACATACATCAACTGCAGCTCCGGCGACCCGGCGAAGCGAAGCGCTGCCCAGAAATAGTTCGGTCTAATAAGTGGCATTTATAATTTTATTGACTGCCAGGCCAGCCCAGCAACGAAGGCAACAAAAGATTGCGAGGGCGATCGGATCGAATCGGATCGGATCGGTTGATGGCGCGATTCTGGGATTCAGTTTTAAAATCCGCTGCAGCAGAAGCGCCAGCGGCTCTGAAAATTTGGACATATGCCAGTCTGGGTTGTTTTTTTTTTTGGCCAGGTCGATACTAAATTTTTCGACATTAGTTGGCAATTTTTTGTGGCCCAAAGCTGTCACGCCGACAGAACGTCAAGGAGAGATCACAGAAATGGGAGAAAAAATATTTTTAATAGGGAATTTCAATTGCTCTTATTTTAGGTTCCATATATTCCATATTTCAAAATATAAATTAAAGATTTTATTACAAAAATTATTTAAACAATCAAGAAATGATTATTGTAGAAACATTTTTACAAAACTAAAACTAAACTAAACTAATTATTATTTTTGAACAAGCCATAATAAAATCTAAAAATATTTTATATATTTGATTTCATAGTAAGGATTACGTTCCCTTATTAAAAAACCTTTATATAACAGAAACTAATTTAATAAGAATTTTTAAAAGGAATTTAGAACCACCTTCAAGTAACTGGACTTAACCCCTTTAAAAAGGGTACAAACACCCGAGAGCCACAACACATTTGCCACATTTTGACTTCTCGTCAGAGGGCGATTCTGTTCCGCTGGCCGCTGCAGTGTTTGCTAAACAGGCACACTTCGAGCCGGATCGGATCTGGTCGGAACGGAACGGAACGGAGCGGAATAAGGCTGGCTGGCTGGATTGGCCCCAGACCCTGACATATTCCTCGTTGACGGTGCACGACTTGGTCGGAGGAGAAGGAGGAGGAGGGGTTCCAACGCCCTGGAGCTGATCCAAGGCGGATCGGGGGCATCATTATGATGTGGCTGTGACGGGCGGGCAACCTTTTGGGGAGGGGCTGTGTGCTCGCCCTGCATTTGCAACATTTTCATTTTCATTTTCGTCTGGTGGCTCGTTTCGCTGCCATGTGGCACATTTATCAGAAAATGCCCACTGACATTTGGCCAGCCACTTGAACTGGGTTAGCAGTGCAGCTCTGGCTCTGTGCTCATTAATTTTATTTGTTGCCAAAAAAAAAACACAAAAAAAGAGGGAAAAAAAGATTGCTTGGCTCGACCCCGGGGCATCACCACAATCCGGATTTCTCAATACGCAATTTCTGTACGAGATTTCGAGATTTACCAAATTGAATTGGCCAACGGATTGGATCGGATTTGATCGGCTCGGAACGATCAGAATGTGTAATTAAAGGGCGATCGAGAGTCGAAGGGCGGTCCGGGCCCTAATGAATGCCGGCTGCTAATTAAGTTTTTAATGATCCACATTTGGCGCGTACAAGCTGGCAAATCAATTAGCGCCCGCAGCCAACCAACCAGCTAACCAGATAGCCAACAAATGAGCCTGGCCCAGACCAAATGGCTTTGACAATTGCAGCCGAACTACGCCCAAACGCGGAGCGCAATCTCTGATGTAATCTGCGGCCAATTGGCGTCGTTGGCCTGAAATATGTTTTATCGCATTTATTATCAGCTGCACCAAATCGTCTATAATTGAAAAACTGTTAACTAGATTAGCTGCCATTAGATCGAGCGATCGCGGGGCCAGCCAGGCCAAGTGGTGGGTTCCAGTGGTTGCCAGTCTCTGGGCTCCAGATTCAGATCCATATCCAGTTTGTGGCCATTTAGTTGGTCCAGTGCCGCCGCTGTGGGAGATAAGTCTCTGTAATAGTAATCGACTTGGCCAAAATGGCGCTGACCAGGCTCGTAAATAAACTGCGGCTGCCCCAAAGGGACATGCCATCCATTCTCCATTTTTCAAATTTCAAATTTTCTTTATTTATTTAAGTGCCACCAAATCAGCCTCCTTGCTGCTTTCTGCTCTTTGGAATCTAATTAAGTTGTTTAAGTGGAATTTGTGGCCATAAAATTATGCAAATCTCGGTGCGCCACCGCACTTCTACCCCACTCGATAGGCACTCTGCGGATGCATATTTGCATTGGTAATTTGCACGCCAAAAGCCCACAAAGCCTCGGGGCCCCGGGCTCTTGGATCGTAAATCATAAGTGGGTGAGTTACGATTACGTTTTAAATTTGTTTATTTTCTGTGTTTTGTTCCTTAGCGCCACTAAAATATTGTGCGGAAAATAATTGCATTTTACTGCCTGATTTTAAGGGTGTGATCTGCGGAAAAGTTCTCAGGCCCCGTGGAAAGCCATTAGTTTCTGTCATAAAGTTCGACTTTTATTCAGCATTTCACATGGCTTCTTGAGTTTATATGCATATGCCCACACAGGTGCATAAAGATGTCAACGCTTAACTTATCAAGCCAGACAAACACGACGAACAGCGAAACGCCAACGACGATGATGCGACAACGATGTTAATACAATAAAACCACTGTAATTTCTGCTTTCGGTTTATTTGCATGTCTCTGCTGCTGCTGGTCACAAAAAACCGAAAGCCGAGAGCCGAAAAATACAAGTAGCGCCCACCGCTGACCGTTTATCAAACAACAATAAACTGTAATTTATGAAAAATGCCTGTAAAATGACGATAAAACAAGTGCCACGACCACGACGACACCAAAGCAACAAAATGCTGCTGTGCAGATGATGATGATGACATGGACATGGCTGCCCGTCTTAGTCTTGTGCGGATCCAGCAACCAGCAGTGGGTGTGTGTGGCTGTATGGATGGGTGCATGGCTGCATGGGTGCCTGGTGGAGTGGCCAAGAAGACAACAATTCATTTGGTCGGTATTCCACTCGGGGGGCAGGGAAAGGGGTCGTGGGTTAGCGGGTTCGGCGATCCCCAGCTGCATCTTCACATTTGGCCCGGGCATTTGACCATTGTCAACACGCTGGTTTCTTGTTCGGCTCGCCAGCAATTGTCTTTGTGCCCAGTGGTTAAGTCTGAAGTGGGGTATATCAAATCACCCATCACCATCACCCATTTTTACGTGTTTTTAATATTTAAAATTAACATCTTACTTAGGGATTTGCATGAGCTTAAAAAACTTAAAAAACAATCACTTTTCATATAAAATAAATAATTATTTTATTAATAATTTATTTATTTACTTTTTATGCCACTTAAAACAAATTAGTTTTAGATTAATAACAAATATTAATTAATAAATATTTGTATTTGTAATTTGCTGTATTTATACGGGCTCTGATTTCTGTAATATGATTGGCTTTCCTTCTTGTTCCCTTATAAATCGAATAGGGTATCTGCCGTTCGAATACCCCTAACTGCAGCATTCTCCTGTGTTTATTTGGGTCACTCTGGCGACAGGTCAGACAAGCCACAGTTTTGTGCGTCGCTACTTTTGCTTTCGAGCGTTGGCGCGAGCTCCTTTGCATTCGTTGTTTGGCATTGTTTTCGGTAGCTCTCCTGCGTTTTTGCCTTCTGCAAGTCAGCCCTTAAAAATGCTGACTCCTTGAAATCGACGGCCACAATGGTGGCTGGGCCTTAAAAGCCGGGACTAAGCCCTCAATGGGCCACTAGTCGAAAATGTGGCAACAAGTGCAGTTGGTGGAGACCCCACCGCTAGCCGAGGTTCTCCAGCGGCTGTGGACTCATTTAAGGGAGGAGATTCGATTTCGCACCCTGCTCTACTATCGCCTGAGCTCCTGCGACTGCTGGTTCGAAGGGATTTTGGAAACTAGTAACTCAACGAACTTGTTGTGGGACGATCGGACGTACCCGCATTATCTGAGACACCGACAGGATATGGACGTACTGGCAGTGGCTTGTCTGAGTTTCAGCGAATATAATGAAGTTCTGATTGCATTAAGCCTAATGCTGGACCAAATACGCAGTATGCCTGTGGTTTTGCAGCTTTGTGGTCAGGAAGATCCGATCCAAGAGCAGAAATCAGCCTGGATATTACTGAATCGAGTTCGCGAGCTAAAGATGCCTAATGTGCTGCTGCTTTCCTGGAATTTTTTGAGCTCCAGAACATTTTACGCCTTTGACTTCTTTCCGGAATTCAAAGTTACAAGGCAAATTTATCAATCATGGCTCACCCTTTTTCCCTATAAGCTGGGAAACCTTCAAGGACATCCGATTCTGACCTTGCCAGATAATTCCCAACCACATACCATTGTGCAAAAGGATTCAAATGGTTCCTTGGTCATTTCCGGTGCCGTTTGGCGATTTATGCAGGAATTCGTTCAATATATCAACGGCAGTCTGCAGTTGCCGATGGATCCAGTTCCTGGCAGAACTCTGAGATACGCAGAGGTCCTTGATTTGGTAAGAAACCAAACGTTGGATATAGCTGCCAGTTTGAGGCCCTACAGACACGTTCAGCGTAGCAACCAACATATTTATGGCTATCCGATGATGGTGGGCAACTGGTGTTTGATGTTGCCCACGGAAAGCGTACTAAGCAGCCACGAGGCATTGAGCAGACTGATGGAGTCACCTTGGATCTGGTTGCTTTTGCTCATCCTCTACATTGGGCACACGTGGCTGACCCAAAAAATGGATCTAAAATACCCCCTCATTCACCTGTTGAAGCCCCTTACTTTCCTGGCGCTTCTCTGCCTTCTGCAGGCCCAACTTTCGGCCTACTTCATTGGACCCCAGCAGGTGAATCACATAACCAGCATGCAGCAAGTTCAGGACTCAGGTTTAAAAATCAGGGGAATGCGAGGGAGTTCATGGAGTACCCCATTGATATGAGAAGCAGGTACGCCTCCTCCTTTCTCCTACATGATCTCTTCTTCGATTTGACCAAATACCGGGACAGTTTCAACACCTCGTACGGCTATACGGTGACTTCTGTTAAATGGCAGTTGTACAAGGAGGCCCAGCGACAATTTCGGCGTCCTTTGTTTCGCTACTCGGAGGACATTTGTGTGCAGAAGCTGTCGCTTTTCTCGCTGATCCTGCAAAGCAACTGTTTGTATCGCTACCAACTGAAGGAGTTCATCACCCGTCTGTACGAAACAGGACTTATTCGATTGTGGTATCGGAGATCCTACTACGTCATGGTAAAGACGGGAAGTTTCCATATCGGGGACATCCCCACATCCCACCAGGCGCAGACAATTCGTTGGTCGGAATGGCAGTACGTGGTGGGAGTATTCGGTATGGGACTTTTATTTTCAACGACAGTCTTCGTCATTGAGCTTACTGTTCACTGTGTAAATGTTTGCCTAGTCAACTTGTAACTTGCTTCGTGGTAGCAAATAAAAAGCATATAGGGTTTACCTATAATTAGATAAAAGGGGTATATGGTTTTTACCAAAATTTCTTTCTTTAACTAAAGTAAAATAGAAAAATATTTCAGGGACCGTAAATAATCATTATTTGAGATTTTTATTTTAAAAAGACTACTGTGATATTTTGTTTTAAACGTCAAAAATAACGTTATTTTTACTCTCGTCCACAAAGTATATGCATTTCAACAAATCTGGAAAGCAAATTAACTGTTATTTGTTCATGTCTATAAAGTGCATAAAAACCAGTTAAATTATTGATTAAAACTTGTAAAAACCTCAGTAGGCCTTTTAAAATAAAAATCTCAAATAATGATTATTTACGGTCCCTGAAATATTTACTAAAGGGTATTCATAGTGTCCGGCACTTTGTTATTTTTACCATCAGTTGAAGGGTAATCCATAAATAAAGTTCCGGCTAAGTAACTTTTCCAGCGATTAAACAAATAAAACACCTTATAATATATAGTACTATCCGTAGGACGAAGTCAGTGCTCTGAGATGTCGTCCACCGGTGGTAGTCTTCACTCCAAGCTCGTGTCGCTGATTAGCCGTGGTCAGGAGTTTACCAGCATTTTCTTTTACGCTCCTGTAAAAGAAAATTGCCACCTGGAGGACACTCTATCTTCGGCCACTTGGGGACTGCCCTTGGTGATATGGCGTTCGGATAGGACGGTGATCCTAAATGGATTCCTCGGCGAGGGTCTCTTGGTGCTGGCCTGCCTGCCTGAATTCCATTGGAGAGCTCTGCTGGGCAGCCTGTCGAGGAGTTTGAAGTATCTAAGACAGGCCAGAGTACTCATCGAATTCATGGAGGAAAGGGACGAATTTCTGGTCAATCAAGTGCTGGAGTTTTGTCTCAGTCAGGATATGATTAATGCCAATGCCATATTCAGCGATTTTGCAGAGACTCAAGTGGTCAGCAGCTTTGAGGCCTATCCGCAGTTCGAAGTGATGAACCAAACCTTCACAGAGGACACTCAGGTGTCTGAACTGTATCCAAATAAGATGATAGACCTCCGGGGCGGTAGAATACGCACCATGCCCGACTACTCGGAGCCAAATACGATTCTCTACCAGGACAAGCAGGGCAACAAACAGATCCTGGGCTATTTGTGGGACATCATGGAGGCCTATGCCCACAAGCACAACGCGCAGCTGCAGGTGGTCAATAAGTATGCGGATGACAGGACCCTCAACTTTATCGAACTCCTGGACGTGGCCCAAAGCGGCATTATAGACGTGGCTGCCAGCATTCAGCCCATGTCGATGGGTGGCCTGGATCGCGTTCACGAGATGTCCTATCCGGTGAATCAGGCCAGTTGGTGCACCATGTTGCCGGTGGAGAGGCAACTCAATGTGTCCGAGTTGCTCTCCCGGGTGCTGCCCTATCCAACGTTTGCCCTCCTGATTTTTCTCTGGATTTTCTACGAGGTGCTGCGGGGACGATGGCGTCGGCATCAGAGGCTCCAGCGGATGGGCTGGCTGGTATTGGCCACTTTGGTTACTTCCAATTACCTGGGCAAACTACTCACTCTCTTCGCCGATCCTCCATCTTTGCCACCCATCGACAGCCTGGCCGCTTTGATAGAGTCGCCAGTGCGCATCATCTCCATTAGATCTGAATACTCATCCATTGAATTCACCCAGCGCACCAAATACTCCGCTGCATTCCGTCTATCTTTGAAGACCTCGACGTTGATTGGCCTGCGAAATGCCCTAAATACCTCCTATGGATATACCCTAACCAGTGAAAAATGGAAAATGTACAGGGAGCAGCAGAAGCGTAGCGCCAGACCTCTCTTTCGCTACTCCAAGGACCTGTGCTTCTACGAGATGGTTCCCTTCGGCCTGGTCATCCCAGAGAACTCGGCGCATCGAGCTACCCTGCACAATTTTACTCTGTTACTTTCGCAGTCGGGTCTGCATGACTTGTGGGTGGCCAGGGGTTTCTACTACATGGTCAAGGCGGGCAAAATAAATTTAGTGGACTTTAAGGAACGTTATCAGCCCGAAACCCTGACCATCTCGGACCTGCGACACGTCCTCGTCCTTTATGGTTCAGGTGTGCTAATTAGCATGGCTCTGTTTACCTGTGAGCTATTTGTCAGCTGGGTAAACTATTGGCTGGGCTTTTAATTGTTCCAGCGGCAATTACGGCGATGGCGTCCGATAAAACCACCCGGTTCCGGTAAATAATAGAGACAAGCCAGGACAAAAGAACAGAAAACAGAAAAACAAATGAAAACTTTGTGTTTTACTTCGTGACGGTGACAAGGGTTCCTGGAGTGCCCGATTCAAGGCAGGGAGACAGTAGTTAACAATGCTGTTGAATGGTTTCCTACCGTCTTACACCTTCGAGAGGTGCAAGAGCTGCGAGGGCAAATGAAATAAATGCAAATTGCCTCCTACGAAGTCACCGCAGCGACACGACGGGCACCACGAAATGAGACCCCAATCGAGGGAGGGGGGAGATGAACCACTGAGCCACTGAGCCATCAGGCAACCGCAGCAGATCCACCAAATTATGTAAAAACCTTGGCAGCAAACACCAGCAAATTGTGGCTTGTTTGTTTGTTTGCTTCTTTTTCTACACTTTTTGGTAGGACAACGCAAGATCCGAGTTGCTGGCCCGTTTTGATTAACATAAAGCGAATAATAGACATCGACTGGCAGCAACGTGTACAAATTTGATTTCACGATTTTGCACTATTTAGCCAAAAGAAGTCAAAGATGCCAGAGCCAAAAGCAAACCAACACCTGCAACATTGGCAACAAGCAACAAGCTTTTCGCTTTTTGGTAGTTTTGACAGCTGAAGATGCATTTGCGCCGCGTTTCCACGGCTGTCAATGATGTGTTGCAACATGCATATCTCAATTTCAAATGACGTCTAGTTAGGCAAATGAATCCGCTCTTTTGCCGATATGAATTGGCCCAGTTCGATTGTTTGCCTTTAGAATTTTCTTGCCGCACGGCCAATGGATGTCTAGATTTGGTTTTTCGGCCAAGACAATTCGGCACGCCAAGAGCAATTTATGACACACAAGAAGCGCCACGATTTGGTTGACAAATTTCCCCAAACACGAAGCCTGGGAAATGAATTATGTGGCCGTGATCGTCGGCGGGAAAATCAAGCCAAAAGCCGCTGATCGAGCGGGCCAAGACCCTCACGACATGTGAGACAATTTCCAGCCAACCGTCGTGGCCAACAATCGACTGCAGTTTCGAGATTTGCTGCAAATTATTAAACGATCTGTCCCAGCGAAGGTCAGCGGAGTAGAAAACACGCGTGCGCAGACCGCGAAACTTTCTCCGCAAGACGGATGCGAGGGTGTTGTCAGCTGCCAAGAAGGATCAGGCTTAAGTCGGCCCCGGCCATAAAATCTCTGGGCCGGCCAAAGAGACGCCGCCCGAACTTTGAATGGCAGCCGAAACAAGTCGGGAGCTGCGATGGCCAGCACCGAAAGTTTAAAGCCCTTTTATACCAGAAAATATTTTAAAAGTATTCATAAGATATTTTAAAAATATTTAAAAAATATTTAAAAAATGTTCAGAAAATATTTAGAAAATATTAAGAAAATAATTTGAGAATATTCAGAAAAGATATAGAAAATATTTAGAAAATATTCCGAAAATATTTAGACATCATTAAAGGATTAAAAAAAATTCGTTTAAGTTTAAATGTAGGTACATGAAAATGTTTATAAATATACTGATTCGCGATATCATTATTACAGAAAATGTTTTAAGACTTATAAGATTATTATATATATTTATAGTTATTTTAACGGTTAAAAAATGAATTAAATATTTATTTCCATCTGAACCTTTCTTTCAAATCCCAGATGCCCTTTGGCAGGGTAATCATGTGAAGCCAAAAAATATTTCGGCTTAAAAATTCTACAGCTGCAGCTGGCCCTCTGGGTTCGGCTTGTCGTATTTTCTCTCTTTGGTTTTTGGTTTTCTGTTTTGTTTCGCTGCATTTTGTTTTGTTTTCGCCTGCGTTGCGGTTGCCTTGCCCACAAGTTGAAAGGTCAGGAATTTATGGATTTTACATGGCTGCAGAGACATTTCCAGATACGAGTAATCGTAACTTCGACAAACTGGGAGCTCGCCTTGAACTCTCACCGTTCCCGCAGTGAAGTCACATCGATTATCGCTGGGCAAACTTTTAATTCCCGTATTGCAATTGTCCGCCGGATAATTACGTGCGATAAGCATTTGATTTCCAAAGCAAACATTGGCATGTCGACTTTTTCCGACGCTTCCAGTCGGCAGAGAAGTCCTTCAGTTCTTTCCGGTTTCAGTGTGGGTCATGTTGTCCAACATTAGTTTTAGTCCTGCCCCCGAGCTGGTCGATCTGTATGGCTTGGTCCTGCAGTTTTTGGTGCCCGCGGAGACCACAATGTTTTACTTTAACCCCACTGGAGAGAACTGCAGCTGGGAGAGACTACAGGGGACCAATCTGTCCCAACATCCGCAGTTTGTTTGGCATCGCGAGGAATCCTACCCAGGATTGTACAAACAACACGGCAATCAAATCTTTGCAATGGCCTGCCTATCTATGGACCTTTATGAGTGGCAGTTGCAGCTTTTGGCCACCAGTTTGACCCGGTTTAGATCGGTAAAAATCCTCATCGAGTTGCAGGCCAGGGAAAGTTCCTTTCTGGCCTCCCAAATCCTGTCGCTTTGCCTGCAGCACAGCATGCTTAATGTGGTGCTGTACTTCCAGCGCTGGAGTCGCCCTCTAAACATCTATAATTACCTGGCTTTTCCATATTTCACGTTGTTCAAGCACCGCTTGTCGGAAGCATTAGGATCCAAAATTTTTACCAACCAGCTGGAGGATCTCCGGGGATATCAGATGCGCGTTCAACCCGACTTGTCGCCGCCCAACTCCTTTCACTATCGCGATAGTCGAGGTGAATATCGAATAGGTGGGTTTTTGTGGAAGATTATACAACATTTCTCCGAAAGTTTGGGGGCCGGCATCCAGGTTCTGTATCCCACTTGGCCAAAAGGCAAGACAGCTTCTTCGGAATACATGCTGGAGTATACACGAAATGGAAGCTCGGATTTCGGACTGACCACCAACATGATCGTTTTTAAGCACGAGGAGAGGTACCGCGACTACAGCTACCCCATGTTCTACTCCAGCTGGTGCACCATGTTGCCCGTGGAGAAGCCTCTGGGTGTCCATACCTTGTTCAAGCACGTCCTCTGTCCCGGACTAGTGATTCTCCTGGGCTTGGCATTCATCCTGTGTTTCCTGCTGATTCCGCCGCTGATCAAATACCTGGGTATCACTTTGCGGGGAAGATTAATGCGAATGGCTTGCAGGATTTTTACTTTGGTTATGATGTGCGCCAGTTCTGCCCAACTACTCTCGCTACTAATGTCTCCACCGCTCCACGAAAGAATTGAGAGTTTCGATGACCTTCTGGCCTCGGGTCTGAAGATCTTTGGAATGCGCAGCGAGTTCTATTATCTGGATGGCGCTTTCCGGGCCAAATATGCGGCTGCTTTCCACCTGACCGATGATCCCAATGAGCTGTATGACAACAGGAACTACTTCAATACCAGTTGGGCCTACACCATCACCTCGGTGAAGTGGCATGTGATCGAGGCGCAGCAACGTCACTTCGCCCATCCAGTTTTCAGGTTCTCGGAGACCTTGTGCTACAATTGGGCCTCACCCTGCGGACTCTTGATAGCCCCGGAGTCCATCTACCGGGAGCCCCTGCAGCACTTCACCCTGCGGATGGACCAGGCCGGGCTAATTAGCCACTGGATGACCCGCAGTTTCTATGATATGGTGAGAGCTGGACGCATGACCATCAAGGACTACAGTCTTATGCATCTGGTGAGTCCGCTGCGCACCGAGGACCTGCGAATGTGGTGGGACATCTTCGTAACGGGTCTGGGCACTTCCTCCGTCGTTTTCGCCATCGAACTGCTTCTGTTCTACACCAACGTATTTCTCAATAGCTTGTAGTGCCTGGCTTTGTCATTTTCCCCAGCAAATAAAATAAATGCAAATTGCTCACCAGGAAGACACCGCAGAGACACGACCGAAGCCACGAAATAAGACTCCGAGTGCGAAGCGCGAAACAAGCAACCACAACAGATTCACCAAATTATATAAAAAGCCCTCGACACCAAAGAAGCAGTCTAAAGCCAACAATTTGTGGCCTACTGCCAGAGAGGGCGAGTACACTCAAAGGGAAAACTATAGAAAATATTTGGGATTTTAATTCAAAGAAATTATAGTTCAGTTATAGTTTTAAATCTCGAAGTCAATAAAAATTGCAATCCGAATAAATGTATTTTTCGAAACCAAATAATAAATATTTATTTTTCTTTTCGTAACTCTCGTTCATAGGAATCATTTATTTCAGTGCATCAGGGGTGAGCGGGTGCTCGATGTCAATTTTTTTCCATTTTGGTAGGACAACGCAAAATCTGGCTGAGTCTGAGTTGCTGGCCCGTTTTGATTAACATAAAGCGCATAATAGACATCGACTGCCAACAACGTGAACAAATTTGATTTCACGATTTTGCACTATTTACCCAAAGAAGCCAAATCCAAAACCAACCAACACCTGCAACATTGGCAACGACAAGCGGCTTTTGGTAATTTTTGACAGCTGAAGATGCATTTTCGCTTCGTTTCGGCTGTTGTCAATGATGTGTTGCAATATTGCGCATCTCAATTACAAATGAGGTTTACCACTATTGTAGTAAAGGCTTCAGAAGTTGTTTAAAAAAATTGTTTTTTGGGGGAAAAATTGAGAGCACTAGAGTAGCTTTTGATTTACAATACTGTCAAAACAGAGTTTTACTTTTTCTCAAGTTGTTAGCGGTTTATGATGGCTTACTTAATATCAAACAAATATTTTTCAACCACTGGCAGTGGTTGTAAAATTCATTTAGTTTTCCTTTTTGTTTGCATGTCTTTGATTTTCCCACTGACTCGATTTATTTTAAACTGGAAATCATTCCGCCTTTACCTTGGGTCCGTCTTATGACTCACTCGGCAGACCTGCTGACCCACCATCGCTGCGGTGGTTTCGACTGTCCAGGTGTTCAATTAAGCACTGACGTTGACCTTAATACGCGGGCCGCTGGAAACGGATTGAAAAAGTGCCAGAATTTCTGACAAATTGTCGCCGAATGTGCGCCGAAATCAAGTTTATGGTCAATGGGAGGCATTGCAGAAATAAATACGGCACAGTAGTGTGGATGTCAACAGATTCTGTTTGGCCGCTTAGAAAGTAGCTGCTTGAATTGGCATTAAAATGCCAAGGAGATGCCGATTCCGAGGTGCTAAAATATGCATTAAAATTGCTGATGAAGCGGCTTGTTCGCTGGCAGGATTACCAAATATTTGCGGCTGCCAAAAGTCAAAAGAAATCAATCAAAATGCCACAATCAACAACGACCAACCGCAAGGCGCCAAAAGGCAACAAAAGGCAATAAAAGGCAGGGAGAGAGGCCGACGGAAGCGACAGACTGACGTGTGCCCCAGACGCTTAGTGGCTGCTGCTGCAAGCCTGGCCTATGCCTCTTTTTTCCTCCTCTTTTCCCCTTTGCAATAGTAACTGCAACTGCAGCATCCAGCGGCAGACGGACGGCCCCATGTCTCTAAGTGGACAACAAAACGCCTCCAACACTTTTGGGGCGCGAAAAATGTGTTTGCCGAGCTAAGCTAAGCCAAGTGAAGCCAAGCCAAGTCGGAGTCGGAGTTGCAGTTTCCCTGGCTAAGAGTGCTTGCCATTCGGGCCAAGAGTGCTTGGCTGAATGCCTAATGCCGCCTCAATTGCAGTTGCACTTGCAGGGGGCGGGCATTCAGGAACTAAGCATCTGAGGAACACCAATGTATTCGCAAGTGTACATAAAAATAAAATAAATAAGCCCGCGCTGATCTTCATTTGTTGTTGTCGCTCAGTTGACATCGCCTTTGGCATGGCATCGTCATCGTCATCTCCATCTCCCTGACATATATTTGCATAGTTTTGTCGAGAACAAAATGGCAGCAGCGAAACAAAAAGAAATTCGTTGACAAGTGTCTGTCAGGGACATCGTGCCTGGCAAATTTGCATATGGTCGCATCTCACGCTTTAGACACAGCCCAAAAAGAAATACCTGAACAAAAATTGGGAAAAAAGGGGTGAGATTCCCAGGCCACCGACATGTCAGTACCCTTATAGGGCTGCAAAAAAAAATTGAAAATCTAATAGTAACCATGAATAATTTATAATAATTGTTATTTCATAATTGTTAAAAATTATTTGTATTTTTAAATGTTAACAGAATGAAATGTCAAAACCAGGATCTCGGCTTTTAGTAAAAATAGTTATTTTTCAAGAGTTTTTTATGTCTAACTTGCCCAAAACTTTTCCAAAGTCAAAATGTTATACTGTTTTAAACAGCTGTTACACGAACAAATTAATCCAAAACACTTTCCGATTTCATTAGAAAAATTAAAATTTGTTCGATTTTTTCCTTTTTTGATAAGGGGTTACATTACAATTTTTTACAAACAATGGTCAAAAAATAAAATGTTTATGTTTAAATGCCAATTTATTGGGAATTTGATTACGAGCAAAAAGAGGTATGAACTTCCATATTTGGACTATTAATTCATTTGTTTTACTGAAATTTTGAGTTGAAAATCGAGATTTGAATTCTTTGGGGAAAATATAAGATTTTAAGCCTTTAAGCATTCGAACACATTTTTTAAGCCAAGCTAAAAAACTAGGTAACAGATGTGGTCTAAAAATAATTGTTGATAAAAAAAAACCACCAGCGATGAAAAAACCGGAAATTAAGCTAAATATGGAACACCAAGTGGTCTCGTCATTACACTAGTTCAATTTTCAAATACCTTCTTCAAGGGTATAAACCGAAAGCAGAGATCCGACTTGGCTTATATATATTGTGGTGAAATTGTTGCTCTGCTGTTTCCTTGTCTTTATTTTAACCGTCTTGTGTTTTGTGTGTCGATCTCAAGCGCACCTTTATGGTCTATTATACTAACGGGAATGCCCCGAGAGCAACGACAATAATAAGCAAATTGATTGAAATATGCGATATCATGGTAACCGCAACTCAAACGGAAACGGCCGCTCCCTCCCTTGCTCCCCGCACCACCTACCGCCCAACTCCCCCACTTCTGGCAATTGTGTGGTAGCGCATTAAATGTCGATTTCGTTTTGCACCCGCGGCGCAGATACGCAGCTTGTGATACGGGAAGTACGCAGTGGTGCTAGTGGTGCCATTGGAGCCGGTGGTGCAGTGGTGCTGGGTCACTGCCAATGCCATGCCGAAGATGAAGAAGGGGTGCGGCTCCCAAAATCCCAGCAATGACGCCCACCCAGCCGGCCCAGTGGGCAATCTTGGACGCTTTTCGACCGCTTTTCGCTTGCCGAGTTGCTGAATGCCGAATTCCGATACCGATACCGATGTTAATGTGCTTTAAATAAATCATTAGCGCATTGTTTGGGGCCATAACGTCGGATTGCAAGTGTTGGCCAGGCAGTGAACCTCTAATGGCCTGAACGGAACCTGGAATTGCGGTCTAGAAAGGGGAAGTGAATGGAGCTGCTGATTCTTCTGCTAGACAAGCTTGTTCAGCTTGTAAGGTGGCGGAGGCCTAAACGCTCTCAAATTGCAATTATCACCGGGTGACACGCGGCCAATTAGCATGCTAAAAACTGGGTGCAACCTCATCTCAAACGATCTCGTAAAAAAACACGTTGCCTTTCTGGCAAAATCCAACTCTCAGCCGTAATGATAACTCTTTTAGCTCGTGTGCGTTCGTCTGTCGATTTTTATTGACTTTTCATTGATTGCCAATACACAAAAACAGAAAAAAAACCAAGGCAGAATTCTTTTTGAGTTCGCCGTCTGTTTTTGGGCGCTCGAGCGTAATTAAAACACTGTAAAAACTGGCAAAATGTGTTAACCAGTTTAGGCCGAGCTTAGCCTTTTTGTGCTCCCTTGCCGTGCGTTACAATTCACAATTTTTTTCGTAGTCCCCCGGTGATGCAATGCGTTTTAATGTCCCGACCAAGTTTTATATATCCATATATCTAGCGTTTAAGTGCCGTCTAATAGATACTTTCCATTCGGCACATGCAAATGTATGATTTCCTGCCGCAGCCGAAGCGGCCATAAATAGGCAATTTGGCGCTCTGGCCGTTTAACGCCAGCCTCAACGGGCCGAACTCGCAACGAATCGAATCGAATCGATTATCGTGCACTTAACACCAACAGCTCTTTAACCCGCAACGAGCTGGTATACCCTTAAAGGTTTTTTTTCCGTTGCCGTTTTGTGCAACCATTTTGGTGAAAATGTTTTCAATCAGAAACGAGGCGGTAAGTGCCGCAGGAGGAGGGCGACTGGCGCGATTGAGCCTTGCAAGAAGCCACCGACAATCAAGGCCAGCTCCCAGCTAGAGCCTGAGCCACGGCATCATTATCAGCCTCCGTGCTGATTATCAACATGTGCCGCATGTGCTTTTGCCCTCGATCCATAGATCAAGATCATAAATAGCAATAAGCCAGCCAGACAATGTCTGCTAACTGTTTCGGGCAATCAATCAATCCATCTGCTTGAGCCTCAGCCGTTGCCGTTGCAACTTCGCGAGTGCTGCTGCTGTTGCTGCTGCCCGTTTGGAAAGTTCATTCAGTTGCGCTTCAGTTTCTGGCTTCCTAGAGCTGGGGAAAGGGTATCGCATACTATAGTTTGTAGTACAGGGTAGCAGCCAGTTGATTGCGGCAAGTGCTGGTCTCAAAACGTGATCGATTGATTTGCGCGATCGCTGCAAGAGCCACGGCCGCGGCAGCAGCGAAATGGCAAACGGCAAGTTCAACGAGCTCGATTGACTGACTGACTGACTGACTGCTGACTAGATAATTGTGGCGTTCTGCGGCTGATGCCACTTTTTTCTGCACTAAACAGCTGGGGCAGACCGCATAGCGATATGGCTG